CTATTATCAACAGCAGTCAACAAAAAGAAAGATAGTCAGTGTTGGAATCAATTAGGACTCGACTTTGAGTCCTACTGATCCGCGACACTGATTGGTCGACACGGGCACTGGCAGAGGCGTTGTCACCGCCTATTGGCCCGTGCGCGTAGGAGCTGTAGATACTCGACACGATAGAAGCTACAAGACAATCAATCCGCTTCCTCACCATAGTATTGCAGCTGCAAGTTGATTCACCCCCGTGACACCTTTATCGTGCCAACACATTAAAATAGTCTTTAAAATTCAGGAGTTACTTTCAATAAGAGAATTCGACTTAAATTTGTCGTATCTGTTTAGTATATAGTGTATTGAATTATGTTTGTCCGAAAAGAATGGCAGGTCACACCGCAACCTGCTGAAATCAAGTACCAAAGAAATACGGTTGTAGTGACAAGATAATATACAAGAGTACTCTGTGTTACTAGCTGTTGGTGGAACAGGATACTGGAATAAAACACAGCACTGGTCAAAATAATGATGCCATACACATCTAGCTCCCCGAACTGCAACGTATGCAAATAACTGGTTTGTATGCCGAAACCCTGAATGTAAAAGTGTAGATTGATGCATCATATTAATACTACTTGTTGCTTGTGTTGCCGCTGTGAAGTGCATTCCACTGATATTTCCGTGTTTTATCGTGGACACTTTTTACCCCAGCATTTATTTCACCAAGATTCAGTACCCCGCACGTACATGTGTGCTTTCAAATCACGATAACTACATGGTCATAATCGAAAAAAAACTTCTCTCAAATCGTTCACGATGAAGAACGAAAAAAAAAATGTGGAAAAAAAAAATTCGGAATTTGTGTACCATAGCTACTACAATATCGAAAGAAAAAGGGTCATAAAAGAAAAAAAAACATCATCCTACACCTTCTCCTTCTCGTCCCCTACAATGTGCACCTCAACCGGCTCAACTGTAATCTCATCTGTCGAAAAAGTCCTCGACCGCCTAAACACAGCGTCCTCAAGTGACTCGTACACACGGGTACCCTTCCTCTCCGCATCATCACCATCAATAGCCGGTGCATCGCGTAAATTCCATTCAAACCGTGCAAAGCGCTCGCGCACCCGCTCGTTCAGTCCGACAAGTCTAAATTGTGTGTTCTTACCGCCAAAGGCCTCAATATCGGCTTTGAGGTCTTTGAGCGCAGTCAGACCAGTGGTGTCAATGTTGTGCATGGCACGCATATCGATGACGACGTTGCGGATTTGAACAGGTTCGTCGATAATGTCTGCTTTAGAACGGAGACGCGCAGCGCGGTCTTTGCCAGCGACACTCCAGTTGCGGTTTGCGTGCGCAGCCTCTAGTGTTGCGACATCGCCCGAGTTGTATGTTTGGACGTTGTCGAGGCACTGGTTCTTGATGTGGTATGCGTTGTAGAAGAGCATCGATTGGTGGATGCGGAAGACCTGGGTGTCCATGGGGACGGCATGTGTACCTGGTATACGCGCGTTTGATTCTACAGTGATGGATGTGACACGGCGGACGCGGTGGAAGGCCATGAAGAGGAGGTGATAGACAATGTTGAAGCCGACCGCCGTACCGATGCCGACTTCGGATGAGACGAAGAGGGTGAGCCAGAAGGCGAGCATGGAGGTGATGAAGTCGATTACAGAGGTGCGCCAGTAGCTGTAGAAAACTTGGACGGGGACTACAATGTGCCATACTGCTGTGACAATGATGGCTGCTAGTGTGGCTTTGGGGATCCAATATAGTGCTGGCGAAAGCTTGAAGATGCTCAGGATGACTACGCCACCAGCAACTAGACCGTAGGCAGGTGACTTGACCCCAGACTCAGAGTTGACTGCAGTCCGCGACATGGCGCCTCCAACAGACATGGATGAAAAGAACGAATTGAAGAAGTTGGCGAAGCCAAGATAGACGAGTTCTTGGGCAGCATCGGTCACATATCCGTTCTTTCGACCAAATGCCTTAGCGATGGCCAGATGTTCAAGCGCCGCAGCTATAAAGGGGGCAATGGAACGAGCAAATACTTTGCTGAAGAGCGTTGTGTCGGGCATGCGGGGCGTTGCGATGCCATCAGACTTGACCTTGCTAAGCGCCCAAACTGGATCGTCCTTCCCCTTGTTGACAGCGTATGAGATACCCGTGAAAAGAACAAGGACCACAGCACTGCGTCCAAGTGCTAGTAGCCAGATGGCCTTGTTCTTCTTTCCCCAGCGTTGGCCCATCTTCTGCATGAGATAGAGCAGCAATATCCCACCCAGACCAACTCCACAGGTGGGGCCATCATATTGGGGTATTTTAGCGAAGAGGTCGTGTATAATGTTGGCTGTCCCGGAGCGAACTGTGATTCCGAATAGGGATGGAATTTGACCAAGCATAATGACAATGGCTGCTGCTGAGATGAAGCCGCTCAAGACTGGTACAGATATAAATTCCAGCAGGAATCCCAATTTCAGCAAGCCGAGCGCCATGGAGTATATACCAACAGACATGGCGACGGCCGATGCAATGGCCTGGGGACTGTATCCATCTTTCGAAACGTCTTCGATAATCTCGGCAGTCAACAGACCCATGAGTGATGTAGGACCGGTTGAGAGATCTAGGATTGCCATTAGTCGACACACTTCACAGAAGCGAGGATAATACCTTTTGAGGTGCCCATGATAAGGTAGAGGAAGTTGGGTAGCCAACTCGACATAAGGCCATACTGCCCTGGAATTGTGGCAATCTTTGCGTACGCAAGTGACTGAGGGATGAGCAGCACGCCCACTGTGATTCCAGCTAGAGTGTCGTTGAGAAACCACCTCGGATTGTACTTGGGGAGCCACTGAATGATTGGGGCCTTCTGGAGGAGGTATTGCCCAGCGACCGAAGGAGCAGCACGGAGAGCCTTTTCGCCATAGCGTACAGTGCGTTGGAGGGTGGTGTCTGTAACTATCGCTTCATGGCTTTGCCGGGCTTTCTTCCTCAGGTACTCCATGGTGAATGATCTACGGGGAGAAAGATAGCCGGCCACTGAGGGAAGGTATCGACTAGAGAAAGCAAGACAATCTAGAGAGCAGGTGTATTGCACATTTGGAAGTATAGATATACAGCCTTGAATCCCGGCAAGGTGGTTTATCAGGCGGGTGGGAGCCTCATGCAAGCGAACCTGGGCAATGGGTGTTGGCCTTCAATACGCACCTACAGAAGCTCAAGCCAGTACACCCATTCCGAAGCTTACTCGCATGTGAACATGCCGGCAACGCATCGGCAGGTTACTACGTCGAAGCACTACCAATCACTCTATTCCGAGGCCCGTGGATCGATTCTTCATTGTCCAAAGAAGGAAAGGAACTACAAAGGGCGTATTTAATACCCTGTTGAACAGTAGACCTGCCGTCTTGAGGAATCGGTGCGGATGCCGCAGTGAGTGGAGACATCTGCAAAGCGTCCATTCTAGGCTGTCTCTGCGAGGCCACCACGAAACAACGCAAAACGATCACGCTGCTTAGTGTGACTAGGGCACCGGCGGTAGCATAGATGATGCCTGCTGCTTGCGTGGCTGCATATGCTTCTAAGCAGTGCCGACCTAAGCTTGAGTTACATGCCACGTTTTGCCGCAAGGCCGTACTGAGGTGCCGTTACACCGTTACTTTACTGTCCGCGAAGAGGGCCGAATCCTGCAGTAGACAAATTGTTTTTTCTCTCAGTGTCCTAGAGTTAGACTTCTCATGGCCGAGGAGTGTGAGGAGGGGGGGTTCGTCTACCCCGCAGCATACGCCAGCGTTGAATTAGCGTCCGTCAGCCACCCGGGCCATGCCTTGTTGAAGGCCAGAACTAGCGCATTGGATTAAGCTTTCGGTCAAGCTCCACGAATGGGGGGCCAAGCATCCTTGTCGATTATCTCCCGTATGCCGTGGGCTTGCAGCGGGGGATCGCAGTCTAAAGCAAGCAGCCATGGCACATGATTCAACAACGTGGGAGCAGCCTTTGCTGACAATAATGTCGGCGCTACTTGCGACCTGACAAGCCGCCGAAGCTGCGACGCATGCCCACATTCCGGTGTACCTGATAACAGGAAACCAATCAACTCCAACCCCTCCGCTGCAACTGACATGGAAACACGCAATATTTCCCCCAAATACAAACACGCGCATTCTCGTGTTCTGGGCAACCCCGCGTGACCGATGCCACAGTATGCTGGTCTATAGCGCGGATTACAGAGCAATTGCCACACCCGTGGCCTGAGTGGAGGGGCCAATGAAGAGGGGTTGTACTGCGAGGCCCAGCCAAGGAGTCCTGAATTTCCGTCGTCATCGCTGCACGCTACTGTAGGCACTCAATAAGTCCAACACCAGCATGTCCATCCTACATTGTGAAACCAACACGAATCATGACAGCCCAATTTTGTCGTTGAATGACTTGGAAATGTAACCACCATTTTCGTCAGTATACTGCAAAGTACTGCTATGTCGGGGGATGCCAGACAAACATCCACGGCTACGGGCAGGTGGTGCGGGATTAGTTACCGAGGACCATGCATGCATGTATGCAATGTGACTTGGACGTTGCTGGCCAATAAGCAAGACCTACGAAACGTCTTTCGCTTAGCCGTTCAGGAAGGTAGTGGTCCAGATGGGGCACTCTAACAAGTTTTGTAGTGGTGTAGAGAGTGGGACATGATGATAACAGTACATCTAGTGACCTGGTCGAGACCTTTCGAGTATGGCATCATGAACTGGTAATGTTGCATATCCTACGTTGTCATTCCTGGGGTCTGCTGTGAAAGTAGAGGGTGCATTTTCCGTCTCTCCCAGCTTGGTCAAGGAGCTATGGTACGCGACAAGAAACAAGACGGAAAACCGGCAGCGGGTACGATGATCGTTGTATCGCGAGCGATGCTTGTCCGGTGGGTAGAAACGTAGAACGCATGGTTAGCGTTGATGCAGTCAGGTAGGATTCCCGGCGCAAGTGTATTGGTGAAAACCACACCAACTTGTACGTCGAGTACCGATCGTCATGCCTCAATGCTCGCAGATATTACGGAAATATGACATTCTACGAGTTAGTCCCTCCAATGGCGGCGATAGATCGGAAATCCGGGCGAAGACAAGCAGACATCCCACTCTGTTGATAACGTTAACCGGACGTCGAAACCATGGCTTGTGTAGCTGAAGGATGATTGGGCAAGGCGTGCCATATGTGTAACGAAGAGGGGTTGTTTGGCGCTCAGAAGGGTGCGCGGCGATGTCGTGACTGTCTAGATTTTCGATCGGTGGGACCAAGGTACGGGCGTGTGTGTGTGTGTGTGTGTGTGTGTGTGTGGACATGCGTGGTTGCATATGGAAACGGTATTGATGTTGTCACAGAGAAGCAGCAGGCCGGGGCTGCAAGTCGCGCTTTGCAGGAGGCGTCCCTGTAGCCATGGTGTGCTACTGCTGTGCTGGGTATGGCTAGTTTCCACAGAGTTGCTGCCCAGGGTGGCGGTGATCTAAACGATCTAAACAAACCTGTACAGATGGAATTGCCATGACACTCAGCGAGGCGGAAAGACGGGCGCGACAAGATGGGGGATGGCGACAGTGCAGGGAGGAAGGCGAGGAGGTCGAGGCCGAGTGAAGCGTGTCGGAGACAAGTGTGCAAGCTCCGCGACAGCGTTGGTGCCAAGACGAAATTTGTTATCGATAGCAACGTCTGCGACGGCCACGATCCAGGGACGGCCGACTGGCCGAATTAATTGCCCGTTCACCAAGCATTTGGAGACATGGCGCGCAAGAAGAAAAGTGCACAGTCGGATGCGGCAACCAACGGGAGCGCTTCGTCGACACCGCCGCCCCCGGCTGCTCCGGCTGCTGCTACTGCTGCTACTGCTGCTGCTGGTGGAAGCGCAGGGACGGCGAAGAAGGCGGGCAGCGAAGCCTCAACCTCTGCGCTCATCATCTGTCGCAACAAGTGAGTCTGGGGCGGGTATCTGCCGTCTTGCTGTCCTTGCCGAGCAGAGCATGCCCTAATAGATCTTCTATAGGCATTGGCGCTACATTTCTTCGTTCCATGGCCCCTGGCTGCAACTCCCTCCAGAAGTCCTCGAGTCACTCGCACATAGCAACTATCTCTCCCCTCGCCCACACCCCATTGATCCTGCCGTCTTCTACGACCTCGTCAAGATCCGTAAGGCGGTTGACGAGGCGACTAATCTCGCTGTGCGCGCCACGTCTGGCTTGACCTCGGCTGCCCTCAGCAACAGCCTCAATGGCGGCAATAGCATGCTGGGCGGTGCGGCCGCGCTGGGCATAGGCTACGGGGCAGGGGGCACTTCGAAACTGAGCAGAGAGCGGAAACATCGTATGAGAGAACTGGCAACGAGCAAACTCAGTCAGGCATATCATCTCGATGAGATCGCGGCCAGTGTTGCGACCATGCAGAGCGCAAGCACGCTCGAGGACGTGGCGCATTTGGTGCTGCAGCGCGAGCCGACCAACGTGGATGCCAAGTATGTCCATTTCTTCCACGAGAAGATTCCCAGTCGAATGATGGCACAGTGCACGCCCCTCGACACGTTGAACGATATCATCGCCGAGCGGCCCAACGACGGTAGTCCACTGCGCACGCGCGCGTTGACCAGGATATTCAAGGACGACTATGTAAACTCTGCAAAAGATCTGAGCGAAGCCCTGAGCACAGCGCGGTACATGATGGCACAACATAGAGCGGGGAAGGACCAGTTAGTGTTGGCAAAGACACTGCAAGAGCAGTATGGAAGAGATTGGAGACAAGAAATCAAGATCCCCGACGAAGACCAACCCAATTCACTCGAGACCCAATTACTTTTTCACCGCGCCGGCGTCTACTTCACCATAGCATGCAGCCATGTTCATGCAGCACTGGATGGTCTCCAGGAAGCTGAGGAAGCAAAGGCGCGGCGAGATGCCATGATTGCAGAGGGCAAAGACCCAGATCCCATGACACCAGAAGAAGCGCATGCGAACCATCTCCGCCTCGAAGCACGCAAACAAGTCCGACAGAACGCTAAACGCGCTCTTCGTGATTATCTCGCCTTTTTATCTCATTTCGACTACACACCTGGTGTCTCCGCAGAAGTGGCTGAAGAGTTCTTGCGGAGATTAGATAATTCAACAAACGGTAGCAACGATGGATATGGAAACAGCAAAATCAAACCAAACATGAACAGACTAATAGAAGAAACAAAAGGTACCGCATCGCCCATGTCCGAAGCGCTCGTCCCCCATCGTGGCGGTTCGACAAAGTCAAGTTCCGACCGCGCATCATGGTCGAAACTGCCTCCACCAGAAATCTTCAAAGTATCCCAACTCTTTGACGCTGCACCGCCAGCTTCGTTACCGCCATATCCAGCACCTAGATGTCCATCAGCAGCTGAATCTGCTGCTGCAGCTGCAGCAACTGCCTTTGCTGATAGCCACGAAAGCATAACCTACCACCCCCTCATCACCGATGCCCTACACTCTCTCCTCCTTTGTCATGCACTCATCCAAACCCCACCAAAAGAGCACCTCCGGCACGCCCACAACGCCGCACGTCTCGCACGCGTCTGTGACGGCTACCCCATTTTCCTCGCTGCCCGCTCACCCGCGCGCGCCGACTGGATCGAAGTGCTCCGACGAGCAGGAAACTGGATCGGACTCTCAACCTCATGGGAAAACCTATGTCGCCCCGCTCCCCTACCAACCCACCACTACAACCCAAACAACGGCACCAGCCCCAAAAACGGCACCACAACAACAGACCTCTACACAAAACCCAGCACAACCCCACCCCCCGAAACCCCCGCCCAACGCCGCGAACGCCAAAAGCACGAAGCCATCCTCGAAGCCCTCGCTGATGAGCGCGTCGTAGACGAAGAATCCTTCCAACGCGCCGTCCGCGCCCGCGAGCGCCGAAACCGCGAGGACGACGAGTTGGAAGCGAAACGCCAGCAACAACAGTTCAAGAAGAAACATACAAGTAACCATACCGACCCCACGGCCACCGACGAAAACGCAAATGGAGATATAGACGCGGATGGATATCCCATCCCACACTCCTCACCTTCGCCTTCGCCTCCACCGCCACCGCCACCACCGCCGAAACGCTGGGCCCAGGATGACGGGAGGGAATACCCGATTTCTACAGAGCGCGCCGAGGCGATTAGTCGGTGGGTTAGGGATGCACCACCTGTTGGGGATGTGAATGCGGGGGGTGCGGGAGGGGTTCGGAAGAAAAAAGCCAAGGGGAAGGCGAGAAAAGGGGGGGTTAGCAGAGTTGGTGTTGAGAATTTGAGGGAAGGGGTAGAAGGGTTGGGGATCAAGGATAGAAGAGAAGAGGAGGTTGACTAGATGGAGGGGAATTAGAAGAGGTGGGTTTTCGGGTATAATGTTTATCTAGTTAGACGATGTTGATGAGAAAGAAACCTGTGATGGGCTTTTTAAAAGTCTGCATGGGGGAAAGGTTGTATAGTTGGACTATCATTCATGGTATTAATCGTGAGTAGCTACTTGCTAGCTAGTCATCGTTCAGGTCCTAGAGGCTTTTCCAGCTCTCGTCATTCATACCTATGACGCCGCCCCACTTTGGAAAAACAAGATCCTTTTTCACAATGAATAAAACGCCGATCCATGACACATAGTTCCCACACCGTCTTCTCAGTCCACTTCATACTCGCGCTCCGTACCACCAACAGTAACATGATCTGAGCCCAGCTGATCCATCTCCTTGCCCTCAATCTCGGCAAGTACCTTCTGCCACACCTTTTCGCAATCCTCCTTTGGCATCTGCCCATTACTCCACTCGCACTGCAAATCTTCCTTTTTGATCTCAAACTTTTCATCATCCTCGCCTTCCTCAAGCGCATCGTGCGGCTTCTCATGTGAAATGCAGTGATTGAGCAACCCCTTTAGTGGCTGCATGTTGGCTGCAAGCCAGTAGGCACGGTGGAAGCGGCGATCGCTGGCCTTGGGCATATCGAAGCCCCATTTTTCCTTCAGAATCAAGTCTGTATTTTCTGTGAAGGGGGCTACTAGCCATGGAGTGATGGTCGTCCAGTGTATCTCCTCGTGTGTATGCGCGTAGCGGCCGTATACACCGATGGTCGTTGTGGTTTCAGCGGTCGGGCCCCATTGAAATGGGTTCGCGGCATTGTGGAGTATGAGAATAGAGAACCTACTACCTCCCTTGATGAAGCCAGTGGTTACGTGACAGTGCCATTTGGGTTTCTGCGGAAAGGAAGTCGTTTTCTCGAGCCACTCAAGAATGTACGATTGCGCGAAGTCGAACCTGGTGCCCGACCGAAGCTCGTAGTGCCACACTGGCCATTTATAGGCTTCATACTTGTCTGTGATAAGCTGTCGGGTCCCTTCGCTCCGTGAGGGGCTATGCACCGGTGGATTATCTAGGGGCTGCTGTATATGGGAGGTTGCATGGTGACGGGATGATGATGAGGTAGGGATAAAGTAGCGGGGTGGTGGACCAAAACTTCCAGCAGAAGATTCATGGCCTGTAAAAGGGCTGTAAGATTGATTCTCTTCATTAGCAGCGCGCACGGGATCATAGTTAGAGGGACGAAAAATGTACGAAGGACCAGGGTCCGATGGCTGAGACCGAATAATATGCTGAGTCCCGTCTGGATAGGGGGATGGAGGAGGCTTCTCAGGTGCAGGGCCTGGAACAAGGGTGCGAAAACGTCGCGGAGGATTAGACGGCGCCTGCAAATCTTCATCGCGGGACTTGCGCTTCCCATGGTTCTGAGCATATCCATAGTTTTGATGATAAGAAGAAGGAGGCACAGGAGGCACACTGCACTGCGTCGACGATGCTGATTCTGTCCTTTGTGCCTGTTCAGCTCGTTTTGCTTCCTCATTTTGTAAGAACTCTTCTCGTTTCTTTCGGGCGGTCTCATCCATTCTCAAGTTGTGTGTCGGCCACTCCTGAATCGGCGGGGATACCTGAAATGGTGACAGTTGAGATATCAGCTGTCCGGGAGAAGAATACAGGATATTGGCACATGGGTGCAGTCGAGGTCGTGCCTCTGGGCGTTGCGATGGAGGAAATTGGACATTGCCATGGGCAGGTACTGCATAAAGGCCTCCATAGGGTATGTATACTGGTTGTACCTGAGGCATTTGGACTTGTTCCGACGCAATTCTGTGCTGATTCTGAGCATACCAAGAGTGCAACTCACTGAAGCCATCATCGCCATACTGAAGAGGCAAAGTAGGACCGGTTTCATAACCCATTGATCGAAACAGGAGGTGAGCATAAGGGTCATGTTGGCAATCTTGTTCATGCATGTAGTGATCCGGTTCGGGAGATGGTGGGACTGCGATGATGGCACCTGCCGCGTCGGTCAAGTCATCCTTGGCCATATTCGTGTACTAGGCGGCAGGAATAGTGGAGTGTGAAGGTCCTGTAGAATGCACCTACAGTAAGTGGCGTCGACGATGTCATAATAGGAGTTAGGGAGGCGCGGGCTTGCTGGGTATTTATCTCTGATGGAAGTCGTGGTGAAAGTGACAGGGAAGGCGCTAACAGTCAAAGTGATAGAAGGCGCGCCACCTCTTCAGTCACTTCACCAGGCACCTGCGGAAACACCATGAGAATTGGGCTTTCCACTCCTGCCCTATATGTCGGCGAGGTGTGAAGGCGTGCGGAGTCGCATACCGCTAACGGGTCACGTTGAGCCCACGACGTAGTTGCCAGAGTGCTACGACACTGGTAGAAATTAGACGTGAACGAGGTCTGACATGTAAATGGCAGTGAAGTGAGCATGCGACAACTTTCGGGATGGGTAATACTACTTGGCTTGTATTACCAATTAGGCATGTGAAAGTGGAAATGAGGGCATAGCCACGATTCAGGGCGTGGGCCTACCATCTGATCACCTTTCGGCATACTCACGGCCACGACCACGACCACTGACCACTCGACTTGATGCCCACACAGCAAGGCCAGCCTGTTCTCGTGCAGCCAGCCAAAGAGATGTGTCGGGCAGATGCCAAGCCCTTCAGGCAGACACAACCAGACACAACCAGATCCATAGAGCGTTGTGGGACAGGGCAAAATCAACAGAAACTGAAACGAATATGCATGCGCATATGTAGCCTTACCCAGTCTCCTGCCTTGTGAGTCATAATACACTCTCTACCGTACTCCATCTTTTGCCACGCTAGACCTCCTGAATATGCGCTCCAACGCCAAACAAACAAGAACAATGCAGGGCAACACAGTTGAAGATAAGTAATACATCCTGCCCCATACGACTTCGAAGCTACCAAGACATACCTCTTATACAACGCGCTTGACCTGGAAGGCACGTTAGCAGGGCGACCCAATAAGCCGGTTGTCCATCTCATGGTCTTGTTTACCTCAAAGAATCGCTTCAACCACCACACCTGGAAGAAACCCTGGGCTGCCAGTACGATGAGCTGGAAAATGCTCCACCACTTGACGCGCGAATTGGTGCTCTCAGCAGTGTTTCGGTGTACTCGCTCACGAGTGCTCATGTACATCTCCTCGTCTTTGACCTGCGCTACAAGCTCCGACATGGTGCGCACTGATACCATTAGCGTATGCCCTTACTTGCCTCAATTCAGACGTTCTTACCCTCCTTCTCCAAAGGATCTTGTGGGGCTTCTGACTCGGGGACGTAGACAATGCCGTGCACGTTGAACGAGACCTCTTTGGTGTTGGCGCCCCAGTGTTCGTTGTTGAAGCAGTACGTGTACTTTCCATCCTCGGTCGCATCAAAAGAATGGTCACCGTTGGCTACGCCGCGTTCGTGGACTTGATAAGTACGAGAGGGAGTTTCAATCTGCCAAGTTTAATTAGTCCTGCTGCTACCATTGACGTCGCCCAAAGCCTCCTGTCTCGCTGACGCACCCAAAAATCAATTTCCAGATTTCCACTGCCGCCAAATTCTCGGTCGCCGACTTGGAACGTGACTGTCATCTTGTCGCCTTTGTGCAGTTGCTCGTGGAAGCATTCGCGCTGATGGGCCTTCATTTGAATGTTGTGCGCTGTCGCAAAGGACAGTAGACTGCTCGCCGCCGCGAGAATGGCGAATGAAGGGAACAGCATGTTTACGGATGTCGTCGTGCTGCTTTGTCGTGCTCGAGGTTTGGATTTGGGGAAACGCCAAGTACGTATACGGAGATGCCAGCTTGCCCGCAATTCCAGGGCCAGAACACTAGCACCCTCCTTAGTCAGCGGCGTCTTGATCTCACCCTCCTCAAAACGTCTTCTTCATCCCAACCACGTCTCACTTATTACCAGATATACTTTTTGGCCTTTGCTTAGAGAAATATGTGACCCTTTGCCATCTTTCCAACTTGTGAAGACTATTTTCTCCCACTACAAATATACATGGTCATCACGTGCACCACCTTTACTTTGGTTATGCTGGCGATCTGCGGCAACTGCAATGTTATCAAAGACAAATTCTGTGAAAAAAATGCTATATTCAAGCAGTGTATTGGAGATGATGTCTGCAAGTGTGATATGTGTCTTCATCTCCTCGTGTGTAATATCTGCTTCGCTGCAGGATCTCATTTCCTACTCGTCATGCTGTCTCTTCTGTTCCTGAGTCACCTCTATTTCGTTTGCATGGCCTATCTCACATTCACCGGTCCTATCGATCCTGTTTTTGAGCTTTTTTGGAGACCTTGTTCTCTCACCTCCACCGGAACTTGCTTACAATCTGCCACTTTTGTTCGCGGCATCTGAGTTTTGACACGGATATTTCAGCTATACGCTGTGGGTTTCGACACTGGTATCCTATCTACACGCACAATGCCAGACCCATCAAGCGTCCCCCGGAGGGTATCGTTCGGTTACATTCTCGGGTTCAGTGACAAACCCTACAAAGATCCAAAACCACCTCCGCCACCGCGCCCCAGAAGGCCGAGCCAACTAGCGGAACTGGTAAGTCACCTGACAATGCATTACATCTATTGCCAATTCCAACTACTCTAGGTCGCTTCCCCCGGAGGTTTGGTAGAGTGGACAGCAAGTGATGGGCGTAAGGGTAGGCTTACGAGCATGGGCAAGCCGCAATTGACTGCTGCAAGTCTCGCCAAAGTCCCATCCGGTGTCCAGTCAACGAAGGGGCATTCGAATAAACGTACTTCCAAACCTCCCGCTAGTAATGCTGAGGATCCATGGAAAGACAATGGTTGGGGTGGTTTCGAGGCGACTGGTGAGACCACGAAGTCAGCTTCAAATAAGGCATCTCGCAGCAAAAGCGATGCCTGGGGAAATAGCGATCGGAATGCCAGTGGCTCCAATAAAGGATCCCAGAAGGTAGACAGCTGCACTCAAGTGCTCTGGGCTTCTGGAGATCCTGGTGATCTTTGGGCAACCCAAGCCGATACTTCCGCTGATGACACCAAAAAGAAAGAGAAGGAAGGCGATGAGGATGATCAGAAGAAAGCTGAAAAGAAAGATGAAAAGAAAGATGAAAATAACGACAGGAAAGCGACTGAGCAGACAACCAAGAGTGGAGATTCGAACGAAACACCGGCTCCAGTCAATACTGCTCCAGAACAAGGCGAGGCAAAGAAGCCGGATGATGCGAATATATGGACGAAGGAGGAGGACGAGCAGCTACTGCAGATGAAAACAGAGAATGCATCCTGGAAGACGATCCAGGATAAGTTCGGTAAGACGAGGAAACAATGCACAGAAAGATGGAATATAGTTAAGCCAGCGGACTGGAAATCTGAAAATGCGAATAACAACACTGGTAAAGGGAATGCAAGCCAGAAGGACACCAAGTGTGATGAACAGAAGCAGAACCAGGGGACCAAGGACGGCAAAAAGGACGGTAACAAAGAGGAAGGCAAGAAAGATGCCGAAGTTCCCGATGATCCTTGCAATGTCACTCTTGGAGCAACGTTCGGTGAGACAAGTGACGACAAGCAAAGCGAGGCTGAGAAAGCCAATAACGCAGGTACTTGGGATACGGATGATCCTACAAACATAGGCAACACTGGTGATGCTAAAGACGGCAACGATACCTGGACCAACATGGATGGGGCTGGTGATAACAAGGACGGTGACCCTGACGATCCATGGGGTCCGGTAACTTGGGTCACTACCAACGAAGAAACTAACCCTGTCTCTCCACCAGGCGGGGACACTATCAACCAAGAAACAATCGCTGCCAATGCCTGGGGCACCACAGTCCTTAACCTCCAGCAGCCCCCAACTCCAGCAAAACCCGCCTCAGTCCCTCGCTCCACCAAAGCACCATCCGAGGCCCGTTCGCGCCGCAGCTCTTCCAGCAAGTCCAAGCCCAGCGCGGCTCGTCCTGCTGAAATCGAACTCGAGCCCGATGACACCTTTTCAGCCGATGACTTGCGCTTGATTGCCCGCATCCTGCAGCAAGATTGCTCCATGGTATGGAGTAGGCTTAGTTGGCGGTTTAGGGATAAGACGGGTAGAATGCTGCATCCTGAGGTGTTTGAAAGAAAGATTACTGGGACTGTGGAGGGGAAGGGCAAGGGGAGTGAGAGGGGTGAGGGAAAGAAGTGAATATGGTTTTTGTTTCGATAGCTATGCCAGGTTTGAGATGCACGACCTAAGAGGAAGATGTATACTATATTCCCTCGAGTGTCTCCACTATGAGACTGATCGACTTCCATGTATACTCGGGCAGTTACAATACAATCTTCACTCTAGCAATCCCAACAGGCCCTCCCAAGCCCTCAACTCCAAAACCCCGCTCTTCGCTTTCGTATCCAACTCCCTCTCATCGTAATTCCCCGCAACCCACTTCTTCACCTTGATATCCCCCAATCCCCCCCACTTGACCTCATCCCCACTAAAATTCAACACAGTAACGAAGCCCTTATCCTCGCCCCACCGTCTAAACGCTACAATCTTTTCATGCCCCATATCCAGCATTTCGAAATCGCCATACACAAAAACGTCCTTGTTTTCCTTTCGATTCTCCAGGGCGCGCTTCCAGAACGCGTGGACGGATAAGGTACCGGGGGCTGGAGTGGGATTAGCGAGTTGCTCGGCGACGTTGATGGCGGGATAGTCGGTGTTGATATGCATCCAGGGGGTGCCGGATGTGAAGCCTGCTTGGGGGCCAGAAGTCCATTGCATGGGTGTGCGGGCGCTGTCGCGGGCTTTGCGTTGCATGATTTCTGCGGCGAGGGCTTGTTTTTCGGGGTTGTTGGGGTAGAGGTCGCGGTATCTGGTGTTGCGTTAGGAATAGTGTTGGATAGGGAAGTGGAAGGAGATGTAGTTTACTTCTTGAAGAAATTGATGCTTTCAATGTCTTTGTATTCCTCGGGTCCCCATTCTTTGGGTATGTTGCGCATGCCGATTTCCTCGCCTTGGTAGACGTAGAGGGTTCCAGAGAGGGTTGTTTGCATGAGACAGAGAAGCTTTGCGCCGTAGGAGCGCCACTCGTCGCTGTCGTCGGTGTATCTACTTATGCTGCGGGGCTGGTCGTGGTTTTCCAAATATAGTGTGTTCCAGCCGTCACGCTCTAGCATCAGTCGCTGTAGTCTATTTACAATTTTCTTGAGATCACGTGGGTCCCAGGGGTGCAGTGTGTACTTGAAGTCGCCGGGGATGTTGTCGATGTCGACCAGGTCGAAGTTGAAAATCATGTTAAGCCCGCCACTTTCTGAGCCGACGACTTTGATGACTTCGTCTTCATCGCGGACAAAGGGCATTTCGCCTACGGTCAGAGTGTCGTACTTTGACAGAACCTCACGGCGTAGTTCTTTGAGCCATTCGTGTAGGCGAGGGCCGTTGGCAAAGTGCTTGTCGCCTGGTTGGTACTTGGCATCCTTGACTGAGATGGCTGCATCAGGGAAGGTTTGGACCTTCGAGATAAGGTTGATGACATCCATGCGGAAACCAGAGACGCCACGATCCAGCCAGAAGCGGAGAATATTGTGTACGGCCTCACGGACATCGGGGTTTTCCCAGTTGAGATCAGGCTGTTCTGGTGTGAACAGTGACAGGTAGTACTCCTGTGTCTTTTCATCCCATGTCCACGCCGAGTTGGCTTCTCCCAAGATCTGTGCCCAGTTGTTTGGCGGTTGGCGGTTGCCATCGGCGTCGTATTTTGCTGGTTTCCAGATATACCAGTCTCTTTTCTTCGATTCCTTGGATGATCGAGAATCGAGAAACCATGCATGCTCTTCGGAGGTGTGGTTGACAACCAGATCCATAACAAGCTTCATGCCGCGTTTCTTGGTTTCCTGGATCAGATTATCGACATCAGCCAGAGTGCCGTAACTGGGGTCTATGTCTTCGTAGTCTGAAATGTCATAGCCCATGTCGGCCTGCGGGCTTTTGTAGATTGGACATAGCCATATCACATCGATGCCTAGGTCCTTGAGGTAGTCCAGCTTCGATGTGATGCCCTTTACATCGCCCCAACCATCGCCGTTGCTGTCAAGGAACGAAGCAGGGTAGATTTGGTATATCACGGCCTCCTTCCACCATCGGTGCTTGTCTGTTCCAACGTAAAAATCCTTCTTTTGTGCAATGGCTGACATTTTGATTTGTCTTAGCAATTGATCTGAGCTGAGGTGTTGTAAAGATGTAGTCTGCCCAACCTGATCGTGTGTCGTCTCTGCTTATGAACGCCAGAGGGGATTGCTTTTTGTGGACCTTTTTTGGAGGCACCATACAAACAGCGCATCTCAACGCGTGGGAGTGGGGGTGGGGTGCGGGACCGATTGCCACACAGTAGGCGATACATCCGACTACACACCAATCAGCGATGTCTTCCTCCTCTGTTGGCCCTGTTTGCACTTCAGGTCGTCCTTGGATCTGGTCACGGCAGCAATGCAAATATGCGATCATGCCTCCATGTCATTCGCCCATTAGGTCGACAAACCCAGACAGCACGTTGATTGGTCAAAATTATATACCGTAGGTACTGCGTCATTGTAAAGGGCACGAGACCTACTACCCGCTTCAGAAACCGGTAACAAACTGCTAAATAATGTACACTTAAAAGAAGTACTACCACCTGTTTTATTATCTGCTGAATATCTTTGTTCTTTGTGTGCATGTCTGTCGGTCCGATATTGAGTATACACGTCGTCATTGATAGTCCCACCAATACCCCACTACTCAGCCGAGGCATCACTTTAAGCTAAGTATGACGCATTCGGCGGATATCGAGGATAGAGGCTCTTCCGGCTCGCGGACACCACTCCTTGGATGTTCCTCACACCAAAGAATTGGAGATGACGTTGATTCCGACAAAAGGAGATGGTCGGTACTGCGGGTGCTCAGATTTCTTGGTGGCGGCATTTACGCCCCGGATTCGACTACGTATGATCCTATTGAGATTCTGCTGAATACTGAGGACGAGAATGAAAAGGATGATCTTACCACAAAGTGGAGAGACAACAGACTCAGCGAGCTGAGCTTTGTAGGCGTTGTGGTACGTACGAAAATTAAGAATTATTGATAAGCCACGTGTTCCGTTCCATGGTGCTTTAGGAGCTAGAAGCAGCGAATGTATTAGAGTTTATTTATGGCTAGAAGAATTTTGAAGATCAATGCTGAGCTGACATGTTACAGTCTGCTCTTCTGGCTGGAGTCCTCACGTCTACAGGAAGCTGGCCCTCCATCTTGCCAAATGGTGAACAGTCACCATGGCCAGTGAGGACGTCCTGGTACTGCGGTATCATTCTTTCGCTCTTTAGTATTCTCACAGCTGCCGATCAAACTGTTCGACTACACCGTCTCTCATCGCACCGTGATGGACTTGCCAAAATCCGCAAAATTCTTCAGAAGACCAACGGTGAGAGAAGGCATTCCTCGAAAACCGGTCGAAGGGCACCTAGCCATCTGCAGATCTTTACCTGGCAGATGCCCGTCATGTTTCTCACTTCTGCCACTCTTTGCATGATTGTCGGCATGTTCCTGCATGTGTGGTCGGCAACCACGCATTTAGATCATCCGTACGTCTGGGATGACAATACCAAGGTACGCTGGCTCAGTGATTCTCACTATACTGTCCACTGATACTCTCATTCAGGTTGCCGTCGCATACAGCTCTGTCGCAATATTCTCTATCATACTCTTCTTTGTCGGCCAGATTTCGCTCTTCACGCCAGGTCGAGAGTCGTAGCGAAACTTGGGGGAGCCTTTTCTCGTTATGAATGGCATACATTCCTAGTCTCCAGAATTGGAATGTCCAATTTATGGGGAAATTATTGGAAGCTCGCTTTATCGGTCCATAGGTTGCTTTGCCATGTTTGATCGGCACTTCACTCTAGTCACCGGTCTGTCCCACACGAAGAATCTATACATCGAAATATTTTAGCTCCCAGAGTCTAGTGACATTCTTTGATATCTTGATAGGTATTCCCTCAACCTCGCAGCGACGACACGCTAAATTGCAGGGAACTAGCCCGATCTTTTGTGGAACTCTTCCATGCACCAACAGATACTTGATCGGTATGTCCTGCCACTATAGCGTCAAGACTTCTTTTTTTTTTGGATAAGCATTCTCCAAGTCAAAAAGTAAGTTTTTGCCGATCCCAAGCGTTCTATGCGAGAAAAAGGAGTCAGGGTTTGCAGATCTCAGGTACCCCGTTACAACACTGGACCTTGTTGTGATATCTTTACTAGATCAAGGTGCTTATCCAGATATCGACAGGATGATGGTGTTGTGGCCACGGAGTCTTTAATGGAATGTCTAAAAAACCTGGAAGATTCTCATACTTGTTGATTGCCATGGGAGTTTCCTAAAAGGAATTAATAAGATCACGGAAATGAAGGGGAAATTAGACGAGACTTCAACTCGGGAAAGGCTGTGAACGAAGATCGATGACTCCGAGCGTCCCTCAACATTAGTGCCTGTTGAAATCACATCCGAAGTGTCGGAAGGAATTCCGGCATTTCCTGCTTACTGTAGTATAACATGGGCTTTTGATAAGATCACTATAACCCGGAAGACTACATACAAAGCATCAACCGTCGATGCGGTTTGGTAGAAAGTAGTTAACGACCTGCGGCTCCAGCGCGATGCGCCCGTGATCAATGGACCCTACTGCTTACTCTAGAGTTAACGCCACGGGAGAAATGATCGAAGCATTTTCCAGAAATGGATCTCACTAAGTTGGCATGACAGAGATTCAGGGGTGTTTTGATGGGTTAAAAGAAAATACACATAAACTAGTGAACAAGAAACAATCGGAAACTGACGATAATCTGCCCTCAGCGCCCTCAGCACATTTTTTCTTGGTGATCCCGTCAATCGGCTCCGATAATTAGCGTAGTACCAACATGTCTCTCTTCTTGCGCCTCACGATGTCGGGCCTGATGCGGCAGTGCCGATTTCTTACGCATTCACCGCTGACTTCGCTAAATATACCCAACTTCATGGACCCTTCAACGCCCATCTCCGCATCGCTTTATTGAACTATCCCCGGCTCCCCGCGTTTGCGATGCGAAACGGTCGGTATAAGCATGTCGTGTAAACTTTACTGTCTGCTTTTACTTCCAGATTTAGATGCCCGCGCTCAGGCCAACCAATCACAGAGGCCCATGTCAGCTGCGGCTGACCAAACCAGGGCCGAAAATGCAAGCGCCACATATTAAGTCTCGTATTCGGGAACCGGCGACTAATGCGCTAAGGTACCAGGAAGCTCTGTTGCTTCGGACATGTTTTTTGTAGTGTTGTCCGGACTGTGCAAGATGTTTAAGAAGAAAGGTGCTCTGAGGGTTGCAAGAACGTTCAAGCAATCTCGCTCACTTCAATCCTTCTCAGGTTCAAGATGCGTTTCCTAGCAGTCTCTTCGATTAGCTTGCTCGCCAGCACAGCTGCTGCATATTCGTCCTCGTGTAATGCATGCGAGGAGCTGTCATCTGTTCTTCCAAACAACACCTTTTATCCCTCTGCCCAAACATACAACGCCTCAATTCAGTCATATCCTTTCCTCCAGCTTCGCTTACATCCTTCTTGTATCGTCCGTCCTAGTACATCGAAAGATGTATCTACGGCTGTCTCGATCCTAGCCCAAACGAACTGCACCAAGTTTGCCATCAAGGGTGGAGGTCACAATGCAAACGCGGGATCCAACAACATCGATGATGGTGTTACGATCGATATGCAGAGTTTGAAGAAAGTTGAGGTTGCAAAAGGTGATCAAGTAGTACAAGTCGGCGCTGGAGCTTTGTGGCAAGATGTTTACGATACCGCCGAGAAGCGTAACCGTACTGTCATGGGTGGACGTATTGGAGTTGTAGGAACTGCTGGATTTCTGACTGGTGGTAAGTAAAACTGCCTTTTCTTGACGGTCTTGGTTCGAAAGTTAACTTTGCTCTTTAGGTGGTATTTCGTTCCTGAGTCCCGAACACGGATGGGCATGTGATGCAGTGGAAAACTTTGAAGTCGCACTCGCCGACGGCAAACTCGTCAACGCAAACTCCACATCCAACTCTGATCTCTATGCCGCTCTCAAGGGTGGTCAGAATAACTTCGGTATTGTCACTCGCTTCGATCTTAAGACTTACCCTGCACGCCCAATCTGGGGTGGCAGAACTGTATATGGTCCCAATGCTACTCAAGCTCTGCTCTCAGCGTACACAGACTTCAAGAGTGGTGAATACGATCCCTATGCAGCCGGCTGGGTCACTGTACGATACAACCACACAGCCGGTACCTTCAACCCAGTCAGTATCATGTGGTACACCAAGCCAGAACAGAAGCCGGGCGCGTTGAAGGCGATCATCGATGTACAGCCGCAGGTCATGAACGGCAGAGTCGAGGCCCCCATCAGTGAGCACACCAGGAATGCCTCGCGACAAGTTTCCGCAAACCCTCAACGAACCATCTGGGCAACCACCTCATTCAAGATTTCACCGACTATCATGCACAGCATCCACGACATGTGGAGCAAGATTGTCCCCGAGATTTCCGAGCAGTACGCTTCTGGGAAGCCCATTGCTGAGATTACCTTCCAAGCTCTTCCCGCTCCTCCACGAAATGGCACTGCGCCAAACGTTCTCGGTTTCGGGCCTGAGGAAACCCCCGAGAAGGACCTTGTATTCCTGCAAATCATTTTCACCTTTGAGGATGCTGCTGCTGCCGATGGTTTCGAAGAGGGACTCATCGACCTCGTGAAGCTAGTCGAGGATATCACCAAGAAGGAGGGTGTCTACCACCCATACAAGTATCTCAACTTCGCTGCATCTTTCCAAGATCCCCTTGGAAGCTATGGAAAGAAGGAGTTGAGGAAGATGTACAAGGTAGCGGATAAGTATGATCCACAAGGCGTGTTCCAGACACTTGTACCTGGTGGTTTCAAGCTCATTTGAGCTGCCTGTATTCTGGGGCGGCCGCCGTGTAGATAAAGACAGCTTTTTTTGTCGATACCTTAACCTAATATTCAATGAGCGATGTGAGAATTCGCGAAATACGCGATTGTTGAATTTTCTAATTGAAGCAAAAGTTCGTGCAACGTGATGTCTGTTAGATTTGTTTGTAACAACAGCTTTTTGAGCATGCCGACAGCAAGTACAAGAGCCACAGCCTTTCGGGTCTTAGTTCTCGCTTCACAGCAAGGCTATTCACAATTCTTTCATTGCAAATATAATTAAACATCAAAATACGAATTTATTTATAAGGTCTTCTTCTTTGATGAACAACCTCTCACATAGTTAGCAAAGTAGCCTTCAAGCACATCAAAGTACTGAGTCAGACTACAGAATCGAATCCCCAGGACGCATCTCGTTTCTATAGCAATTAAAAGCTCCTTGGGCAATCGTGTCAAAATCTACATATAACTCGAGCTATTGTATTCACAAGATGCACCCTGGGCTGGTCGTCACGGTAATCATTGCGGCAATAGTTGAGTTTTGGATTACATCCGCACTCATATATGCGGCTTTGCAAAGATTCGATGATCGACCATTCGGTAGGAGAGTCGGAGATGCAATGAAGTTAAGGTTACGGAAGGCATAGGGAGTCGTCGAGGGTGAAGGAGTATGTGAACCACTACCGCTTTGGTTATTTTCTGATTACTATATGGAAAGCTGGAACTGTCAAAAGCGGTAAAAGAAAAAATGAATTCCAAATTTTCTATTGATTTCAGATAGCACGAGTGCAATGGATGCTAAATCAGTAGATCACATGACTATCATTGACATACCTATCTTCCGGCTTTGCAGTCCTATCATGACTCAAAGATGCAACTCGTTTATCATCTCCTCCCCCGATAACCCTGCAAGCAGATTCTTCACGCTTTCAGTCGCCATCTGCTCACGCGTCTCTATTGTCGCACTCCCAATATGCGGTACAAGAACAGCCCTTGGCTGCTTCAAGATCGGATGATCAGCCGTAATATTTGGTTCGTTCTCTATGACGTCCAGACCAGCGCCAAAGATTTGCTCTTCCTCCAGCGCCTTGACCAACGCATCCGTATCGATGATGGGACCTCGAGCGATATTGACAATGACTGACAGTTTCTTCATCTTCGAGAAAAAGTCCGTGCTGACTAGGTGTTTAGTCGACGGAGTTAAAGCACATCCAACAATTACAACGTCACTTTCTTTAGCGAGCTGATCAGCGCTTGTAGCAGGCTCAATGGGAATGCTGGAGTTTTGGAGTAGACCGAAATGATCTTCCCTAGCGGGTTGTCCAGGCTTAGCTGTGAGATAGATGACGCGCTTGATACCAAATGGCAAAAGTCTTAGCAAGGAAGCTTGCGCGATCCGTCCAAAGCCCAGAAATCCTAGTGTCGAGCCTCGAATTTGCGGACCCGTCATGAGGAGAGGGTGCCATGGCATTTGTGGCCACTCGCCTCTAGTGACTTTCGCGATAGACTCTCCACCTCGTCTTTGCGCCATCAGAATGAGCATAATGGTGAGATCTGCAACGGCATCGGTAAGGCATGTTGGTGTGTAGCCAAGACGTATGTTGCGCTTCTTTAGAGCATCTCGGTCGACGTGGTCGGTGCCAACGGAGAAAGAGGCAATTGCTTTCAGTTGAGGCCCAGCAGCGTCTAGAAGCTCTTCGTCAACCTTGTCTGTTAACATCACCAAGATGCCAGTTGCTCCCTTGACATTTTCCAAGAGCCAAGATCGGTCGCAGGGCTGCATACATGTACATTAGCCGTCTGCGACTTTGCTGCCTCTGGACGCGGACTTACCTTTTCTGACTGCCATTGCACAATCTCCAAGCTCTCATTCTTCGCATCTAGTAATTTTTGGGCTTCATCGATGAGCTGGCGGGTGACAACGACTTTGGTTTTCGCCATGTTGGGGTATGTGTTTATGGTTGCACAGTTGCGGTGGTCGATCTGAAGCGGGGTAGAATTACTAGCCGTCCCGTCTATGCCCACCTGGTCTTCAGTGCGTTCAAGTCGGTGAGTTAGCTGCAACGACAGTTGTGATAACCTCTGCATTGGCGAAAGATATGTGCAACTCTTCTGGAATAATAACTCAATCTTTGCACATCACGATCGGTTGTCTTTACCCCGATCTTTCCGCCAATGAGAACACATGTTAAGAAGCCCCACACTCGTTGCTCTTATCAGGGCATCTTCAGCGCTGATGCAAATATATTTCCGTTGATAGTACGTATCATGATTAAGTCTCGGCTACTACGCTCTCGCTAAATATTCTTAACAGTGGGCTCTATTACATATCTCTTTAACCCTTGCTAGGTGCCTTCACTACCTGGTCGTGATATTTGTTGGTAATGTGAAATGGACCTCTAACCATGTCAACGCTTCTTAAAGGATAGCTGCATCTTTAGCTGAATATTACTGCCAGTCACCAGGGGTGCTGCAGTTTGAACAGTGAATAGATGGAGTAAAGTGGAGCTCAAGCTGCACCCCCCTTCAGCGTTGCTAGCCAGGTTGTTACAATTACTCGTTTTATATGTGCATATGATGTTCACTTCATTAAGACCGTTAAAGCTATCGGTATCTTTAGGTACCTCACTTCATCATCCGTGCAGCAATGTCTAACCATTTGTGACCGTGATGTCTCATTCCCTACTCACCGCTTAATGTTCACCGTGGTTAATCTGAAGCTATACGCTAATATCATGTGGCCATAAAAATAGTCGTTTACTCTCTCTGATAGTCGTTTGCTTTCTGCGCCTGTTACCCACAGTTCAAAACCACCACCGCACCTCGCAACAACTCCGATTATTGTTTTCGCACGCATCTCATTGCCTCGAGTAAGTTCAGCCTCTCTTACATACATTTCTTCTCTGTATCTCTGACACTATTCAGCGGCTATTACCCACCCGTCATGCACTCTCCGTCATGTCTATGCCTTCTAGTCAAGCCACCAAACTAGGGACTCCCGAAAACAAGCTAAGCTCGCAACGTACGAGGAATCCTCAGGAGGAGGAAGACGCCATACCGACGGCCTTGAATGAAGAAATCATCGAACGATCTCGCAAACGCATCGAGGGAAATATCAGAATGAACAAAATCGAAATCCAACGCATGCACTTAGTTGTGTCCCGGGATGCAAATTGGGATGGACTTGGTCTCCCGCCAACGCATAAGTTTTGGCAGTATCGTAGAATTGAAACAAATAATGTTAAGGCGGCAATGGAATTTGTGCCGAAGTGGTTGCTTTCAGAAGAAGTTCAGTGGGACCCAGACACAGAAGAGGCTATTATCCTAAGCCCTGGAGAACTCTACGGGGTATCAGTCGGATACGATTTCAATATACTCGGCGCAGCATTAATGGAAGCACACAAACAGAATGCCACGGCCCTCAAGCTCAAGATTGTACGAAAAGTTTTGTTTCCTTGCACGGTCAATTATGATACAAATATAAGTCTGACACCCCCCTTGGTGGAGCGATGATTCCGACGAAGAAGACGAAGAAGAGAAAGAAAGAAGAGAAAGTCATCACCTTAGTCGCAGAGGCTCTTATCCATGAGCCCTCATAAACACGGAAGATATGGTGAACAAGTGTTTGTTTACCTTGTTCAGAGCATTTAGAACCCCATAGCATGCCGGTGCGCAAGGTTGCGAGTAAACCTAGGTAATAATATTGTCCGAAATCTGGTTTGGGAGCAGGACTTGCCGCAAAATAGATGAGGCATCTAATTCAGTAGTTTTCAATCTTACGAGCTCTTCTCTCCAACTCCGATTACCTCCCTACTCCGTCGCTGTCGACGACGTGTGAGGGAACATGAAAACTGCTCGTCTCTTCCCTATTAAGACTTGTGGCTCGATACTATCTACGCCCGTTCAGTAGTGGTCTTCGTGCTGGATTTGCGGGGGTTACAGTCGACGCGTCTAACTCAAAGAAGAATGTGCAACCGACCCGTACCCAACCCCACCTTCGGCCTATACCGTAAACTCTACATCTATCTTTCCATAAGTTTTTGTACTGTGTACTTTAAAGAAGTACGCGAATTGATACTGACTGTGCAAATACAATACTCTACTAAACATCAGCGAAGCAATCATATCATCAACGATCTGAAACTACCATGGAGCAGCGAGCCAGTATCCCTGTCTTACCACCAATCCCAAACCCTCTACCTTCATACTGGCAAACTCCACGATCGCCTCTTGCAAATGTCATCGAATCTGAGACCGATAAGCCCACCACACCTTACGATTATGCCATCATTGGTTCTGGTATCTCGGGTGCCATGATCGCTCACAACCTTCTCGAAAAGAGACCAGGTGCACGTATAGTGATGTTGGAAGCACGTGAAGTCTGTTCTGGTGCGACAGGTCGTAATGGCGGACATACGAAAGCAGCAAGTTATCGGACCTATACGCAACACGTTAAGACCCTCGGCAAACAAGAGGCGCTCAAGATTGCAAGACTAGAGTACACAAACATTGTCGAAACGCATCAACTAGCCGAGAAGTTGGGCATCGACTGCGAAAACAAGCTTTGCAACACTGTCGACCTTATCTACGATAAACTTGCTTTTGAGACAGGAAAAACAGCTATCCAGGCATTGCGTAACGACACCGAGGATCATGAGAAAGAAGTCGGTAAAGCTGCGTGGTACCAAATCCATGAAGATACAGCACAAGTCGAGAAACAATTCTTTGTTGCTTCGGAGTTCCATAATGCCACACTTAAAGAGCCAGAGAAGCTAGAGGGAGCTTTTGAATACGTCGCAGGTCGTGTGCACGCATACCGCTTCACTACAGGCATACTATCAAGATGCGTCAAGAAAGGCCTACAGCTACGTACAAACACCACAGTCGATAGCATCCAGCCCTCCAAAAAAACCTGCAACGACAGCATCGCCCTCTGGGACATCGTAACCAAGTACACCACCATCTCAGCAGCCCACGTCATCGTCGCCTCAAACGGCTACACCCCTTACATCCTCCCAGAACTCCAAGGCGCTATAGTCCCCATGCGCGGCCAAATCACCGTCCAACGCCCCGGAACCGCCACCAAACTCCCCTCCCCACTCCCAACAACCTACTCCTTCATCGGCCGCGACGGCTACGAATACATGATCCCGCGCCCCCTCCCCTCCGGCGGCGGCCAGCACATCGTCATCGGCGGCGGTCTCGCACGTCTTTCCGATGGCGGTGCATCCGAATTCGGGATCGTAGACGACGCCTCGTTGAATCCGGCTATTTCTGCGTACCTCCGCGAAACACTGACAGGATATCATGGCAAGGAGAATTGGGGGGAGGCGTCGGAGGCGGAGGCAGAGAAAAGGGTGGAGAGCGAGTGGACGGGGATTATGGGGGCGACGGCGGATGGACAGCCGTTTGTGGGGGAGGTTCCTGGGAAGGTGGGGGAGGTTCCTGGGAAGAAGGGGGTGTGGGTTTCGGCGGGGTTTAATGGGCATGGGATGGTACTTTGTTTAAAGTCGGCGGAGGCGCTGGTGAGTATGATTGAGGGGGGCGGGGTGCCAGCGTGGTTTCCGGGGAGCTTTTTGATATCGAAGGAGAGGATGGAGAAATGTAGGTTTAGGGGGAGGACGGATTTGATTGGTGAGGAGTGAGGTGGAGATAGAGGAGAATTGGCCTTCCGTTTCAGGAATGTGTTCGTCTCTCTCTTTTTGGCTCCTCTGATGATATCGTTGCGTTATTTTGGTAATGGTGCAGCTGCAGAAGCTACATTACCGGCGGTAGGATAACTTGTGATGATACTGGCATAGATACGACCTGCAGGGGTATTCATTAAGATAGCATACATCTACAACCATTTTATTGGAATCTAAAACATCGGGGTATCAGACATAACTTTTCGAATCAGAACTCGGTACGGTATAAGGCGTCATATTCGTCTAGAACATCTGCCTGTTCCTCATCTCCACAGGCAAGAAGCACATTAATAGAGCGGAAAGCCAGATGCCACCAGCACCTAGCCAAAGGATACCAGCGCTTTTTTCTGCGAGAAACTGAGCTCCAGCATACGGTGCGACGATTCCAGCAATGCGGCCCAAACATGACAGAATGCCGCTGACACTTCCTCGGTAGGTGGTATCGAAGAGTTCTGGGGCAGACGCATACAGAACAGCATTGAAGTACTATAGATCCGTCAGTATATAAACACACGTGTCGGTTCCTGGGCACTAACCGTTTGCATGATGTACTCGAGAGCATTGAGGCCAACATATGCTGCTGTTGACGATACTTGTGTATATAAAGCCATAGAAATTCCCTGGCATAGAGCAGAGAATACAAGCGACCATTTCCGACCTAGCAATGGCATCTGGACGGAAAACAGCGCAAGGACTGCGCCGATGATGCCAGGGAAATAGATGATCATGTATTGCTCGTAAGTATCGCTCACGCTTGATCTACCATCCGAGACATTGTTGTTGTAGAGGATGATTGGAAGGAAAGCTCCTGCAAGGTTGAATGACCAGTAGTCTCCCTGAAATGGACTTAGTAAGCTGGAACGAGGTCAGATCATCCGACTTACCATGTATGTGAGTGCCAGCAAAACGAAGATGTAGGCAGATAGCTTGTTATCAAAGATGCCCTTAAGACGCTTTAATTCCTTGCCAAAGCCTTGGATAACCTTCTTGGTTGTCGCTTTAGTGCCTGCAGGGGCCTCTTCTCTAACATGTGCGCCAGATGTTGCATTTGTAGCTGCGTCATCGATAGCAGCAAACATATCCACTGTCAGCGTTGGTGGCGGCTGTTTGTTGAACTTGGCGATTTTGTGGAGAACTTCAATGGCTTCAGCTTCTTTTCCCCTAGCAAGCAAAAACTTGGGCGATTCGTGAAAACGGAATACGAAGAAACGGAGGAAGAATACCGCCAACGTCATGGAGCCGAGAACAATGACGTTGTAGCGCCAGCCCATGTTGTCGTCGACTGTACAGCAAGCTTCGCCGTCACCAGCGCGCACGCAAGAAGGCAGGTTAGGGTCGCAGCGCCACTTTGCTGTCGTACCATAGGCGATGACGGATGCAATAGCGACTCCGATAGGCTGCCACATGGAAAGAAGTGCAACGAGAAAGCGGCGGTTATTTGGTAGGAATTCAAGAGCAATGGTGGCGTCGATGGGAATATTGCCTCCTAAACCGAGCGATGCGAGGAAGTAAATAGCACATATCGCACTGTAGTTGAATTTGGGAGCGGCCTGGATGGATATTAGGGAAGGAAATTTGACTTCATGATCCAGAAAACGTACCAACAAGAGTCCAAATATCGAAGTAATAAGGCAAGTTAAGTTGAAAGCCCATTTGCGGCCAATGATATCTACGGCAAGGCCAAAGAAGAGTGCCCCGACAGCTAAGCCTGCGTTTGCAATAGAAAATATGTTTCCTTGTTCCGGGGCAGGGACATCCATCTATGCCCTATGTCAGGCATATATCATGGAATGATTTTCGGATACTCACTTCTTGATAAATGGAAGTGACGATCAAACCAACACCTTGGGCCCAAGCAAGATCAAGGAAGTAACCAAAACCGCAGAGGAACCAGATGCATATCTGGTACCTGCCCATTCCGAATTTGTCTATTTCAACATTGATGAGTGCTGCTTTCTTTTCGAATACGTTGAGCGGGTTCGCGGCAGTGCCCTTGAGAATTGCAGCAAAGGACAGATCAGTCTGATCGACACGCTCAACGTCATTGTAAATGGGAATTTCAACCTGAGGGTGGGATTTGGTTGCAATGATTTTCTCATCTTCGCTGGAGTTTCCAGTCTTGCGCTCGGGAATAGAGGCGTCAACCGGGAATTTGTCGTCGCCGACGACGTGATCTTGCTTATTCTCGGGGTGGTTGACGTCCATGTTGGCTGTAGATATCAGAACCGGCTTTCAGAAGCTGGTCCTCAGGGACTTGCGTGTGGGATAAGCGAAGTCAAGTCGCCGCGTGGATGTGGCAAGTTACAAGGTGGTACTGTGGGACAATGTGTTATAGGGGTGGGGAAGTGCGTCCCTTCCGCGCCACACTTGAGCTACTGGTGAAAACGGGTCTAAGCAGCGGATACTAGGATCCTGCTCATTGATGCGAATACCGTCCGTCCAACAGCATCAGGCTCCGAGGCGGTAGAAGTTTAGCAACAGAGAGCTCATTGGTTGCCATGCTATCATCCCGGCATACTGTATGACATCGTCGAGCAGCGGCACTAGGCCGTGTCCGTATGTAGGAGCTCGTCTCTCGGTCTGTCCGTGTTGCAGAAATCTCTGCCATGGCTAAAAGATGCCCTAGCAGCTGTGCCATGGCAGGTTTCTTGGCTAGACTTGTATTTCCATAGTAGCGTGATGGCGGAACAGGCGTGGTAGCGAACAATTGAAGCGCTCAGGCTAGCCGTCCCCGTTCAAGGCTGAGGGTTACGCAGTGCATGCCGTGAACCCGTCATTTTACGGCACGCTTCCGGTCGCCTCCTTCTCCACTACACATTATTGCCGTGGGATATATTGGCTAGTTTTTTTATCTCGAGTCAATTGCCATGCCGATACCGAGATCTTGCCTCCAGCCCCCCACTTTGACAAGATTCACCGTTCACGGGCAATCATGACTATGCCGTTTCTGGCATAGCGGCAAGTCATGCACGTCATCCCGAGCTTTTCGATTCTCCCCTCTCAATTCTGCCGTACAATTGCCACCCTACACCGCGATGAACATGTACTTTTTTCTCCGACACGTCTGAGAGTTTCAGCCGCTTTTGTACAAGCAGCCTGCGTTACTTCTCTTGCTTTTTTCCTTCCTCCAAGATTACAATCATCACACAAGGTGTCACATAATACAACAGAAAAAACACCAAGGGTATCTAAATTCAGGTGTCAACCATCTCCTCGGAGACTCCCTCTCAAACTACTTGTCCAATCCATACTCTTTAATCAACCTTTCGCTGGCAATCTGCCCAACCAGATACGCGGTTGCCTGCGAATGATTGTTTGTCGTGACTGGCGCAACACTCATATCCACCACTCTCAGACCTTCTACACCCCGTACTTTGAACCTCTTGTCTACCACTGCTTCTTTATCGTCATTCTTTCCCATCTTGCACGTACCAGCAGCATGCCACACCGTACTGGCGTTTTCTTTCGCGAACGCATCAATAGATTCATCCGACATTGACTCCGGCGCAAGGATTTTGCGCACAATATATGGTGCAAGGGCGGTTGAGGTGGTAAGTTTATTCCATGTATTTCGGATTGCTTCGCGGAACACACGGGCGTCGTATGGGTGAGTAAGGTAGTTGAGCTTGATGGTGGGCTTCTCTGCTGCATCATTGGACCGTAGAGTTACACTGCCTCTCGACAGCGGGTTCATTAGGAAAGCAATGAAGCTCATATATGTGTTGCCTTCTGTGAGCTTCGTTCCGGGAGGCCACAGAATTGAGTTTGCTATGAGCTCGTATGTCGGGACTTCATCTTTTAGAAGAAATTCTTGGAAATCCTTGGGCAGAGCTTTGTACTCTTCGAACGTTTCTAGTCCTGGTAGTTTGAGAAACCCGCCCCAGAGAGCTGAGTTATGGATCGCCAGGGCGCCAGAGTGATCCTTTTCCCATGTCTTTTCTGCTTCGGCAACGATTTCGGGATTGCTCTCGAAGGCGTACTTGTCATTGACACTTCCATCGACTTCGACACTTATAAAGGCCAAGACATGGTCATGGAGATTCTTCCCTACACCGGGCAAGTCCACTTTGACGTCGATTCCGAGGGCTTCGAGTTCGGACTTGGGTCCGATACCGTTAAGAAGGAGCAGCCGAGGTGAATCAATTGCGCCGGCGCAAATGATGACTTCGTTCTTGGCAGTCGCTACTGTTCGTTAGCACCTTGCTTCTCTAATCCCATATTCCATTCCACATTTAGTCGAAGTCAGAAGAGGGGACCAAAACATACCTTCTCGTCCATTCTCTGTCACAACCCCAACAACCTTCTTCCCTTCCCATAGCAACTTCGTCGCCTTTGCGTCTGTCCAAATCTCAAGATTTTTTGGCGGGTCAGTCAAATGGGCAATCGCACTCGTACACCTTCCTTGCTTAGCATACGTGGCTGGGAAAATACTAATGCCTACTGGATCTCCAGAGTTTGGGTCCAAATTCAACTTCTCCCCCGCCTGAATAAGCGCCTCCATCTGTGGCTGGACCGCCGTTTCCAGAATGGGTGGTAGCCCAACATTCAATTTGCCCTTGACCCCATGCTGAACAGTCGAAGGGTCAGCAAGATGGCGATACGTCTTTGAACCCGAGGAATCATAATTCTCAATCTTTTCAAACGCTCTCTTTACGTTATCCCACTTGAAGGTGCCTTCTCCATCTTCTCCGTCATCATTGACAAGGTCGTCCCATCTTTCATAATCCCTCTTACTGCCATATAGGTATACTGCGAAATTCACCATACTACACCCACCCAATCCCTTTCCGCGAGTATACGCAATCTGCCGCCCATTCAGCGCTTCCTCTGGTCCGCTAATATAGCCATGGTCCAGATCTGGGCGCAGTGCTGGCGCATGGTAGCGATGATACGGAGCGCGCAGGTAAGGGCCGCTGGGCGCACCGCCAGCTTCAAGAAGCAGAACGCGGGGTGCAGCGTGTGTGTGAGTGAGGCGGTCGGCCAGCAGGGGTCCTGCAGTACCGGCTTTGCAAAAAGATAAGTATCAGTAAAGAAAAATGAAACAACAATGAACAGGGTTGTGTATATGGGAGAAAAGCTGGGAACAAGGAGACATACCCCCAACAATGATGAAATCGTACGACGAAGCCATTACACGACTAAATACTACTAGTACTTCCGGCCTCGGCTCAAAGATTGTTATTAATTAGTCCCTAGACTCAGTACCTCACCAGCCGCGGACCTCGAAATTTATACCATTCCCCCACATCTCACATCCGCTGCGTTACCCCGGCCTCTCCCTCAACCCAAAAAAACCCACTTTACCCAAACTCAATCTTACGCCATCTCCATCAGGCATGTGAGCATCGTACCGCTCACGCCCAGCAAAAAGACAACGCAAAGCAAAGCCATGTCTCATCTCTTCATACACACACACACCCTACCCACCTTTTTGCCACCCATCATTTTCCCTTTACTATACTCCTCACCCCCTCATCCCCCCCTCTCAACCTCCAAACTTCCCAGAGGTAACTCACGAAGCAAAAAATCTGAGTACACTATACCTACCCGCCCCGCTGTGGAAACCCTGCATTTAACCCCCCTCCCCCTCCCCATCAGTCCATGTCCGCATTAGCGTCATCTAGTCCCGTAAAAGCACGTTGCTGATGTCCTGTTGAGTAAGCCAAGGTAATTGGCCAGGGGATCAAGAATTCAATTGTTACACTGCATGCATGACGTTAGTAAGTTGGCGCTAGGTGTATGGTACACAAGTAGGTTTTTTTGCTGACGGGGGGTTTTGGCTGCCGCTTTCCCATCAGGCGGTAGCCGGTCTGTGGGGAGAAATGGATAGAGAGAGGGGAATTGGAGGTATTTTGGGGCGAGGGGTTGGGGGATGGGATTGGAATGGGAAGGGGAGTGTGAATTGGGGGGTTCGGGCATGGGTGCGGGTACGAGTACCAGAGGTTGCTGTTTTTGTGTCGGATGGGAAGAGGGGGAAGAGCGGGGGGTGGGGTAAAGGTGGATACGAGGGTACTAGGCGGGATGGGGGTTTCAGCGTCTATTCTATCTTCTATATAATGCTCTATAAATCTGTGTCGTGTGTACGGGTATTCTATAAATCTATCCTCATGTTGCTTTTATTCTCAGTTGCATGCATGCATTCCATGCTCGCCTGCTGTGGGAAGAAAGCTCCGCTTCCCTTGCATGAGATAGCTTTCATGCAAACCTCAAGACCATCCTCGCATCTACCTTACCAACTACCCAATTAGTTCGAGAACCATGCGAGACTATTTGTCACCCACACACTACCCATTGCTCTTCCTGGTTCATCCGCACATCGCCCTGGGTAAGCGACACCTATCACACGAACCCAACCATTGCTTCCCCACTAGTCCGGTAGCAGTAGTATATAAGAAGCCTAACCCACAGCCCATGCACATCTTTCCACAGAAAACTGCAGTATGCCCCTTCTACCTCTTTCGATAAAAGGTAAAGATTTTCCTTGGAAGCAACGCATGGTAACCTCGCGCACCTCGGTGTCCCCACATGTGCGGTCCGCGGCGGCACGCGGCGGTGTTCGCATTGCAACCGCTAGCCACGTGCGAATAATCTATTGGGCGCGAAAAAAAAGATAACACAAGGTTCATCAACTTGGTGCCTTGACTTTCTCGGGTATTCGAGGTGGGACGGGCGGTTCCTCGGTGGAATCCCTGGTGACTTCGTTTTGCGTAATCATGGTGGACATTAAACTCGCGGGTATGCTGTTGCGCAGCCAGTCTGGTTTCCTAAATACCCTTTTCCCTACGGGAGTTGCGCGTGCGTTTTCTGCTGGCACACCTTGGGATGGGGAGCCTTGCTCTGCGTCCCAGACGCCGATTCTGCCTCTCTCGGAGCCTCCGCTGGGATGGCGACCGACGCTTGTCGCCAAGCTGCGGTGGTGGAGGGGAGAAAAGTGAGGGAATTGCCGGGCTATGAGGGCGCGGAGATCGGGGAGCGAGGCGGCGATTATGGCAAAGGAGATTTGAATGGAGATGAGGATGTTGACTGCGGAGCCAAAGTACTGCATGTTGCTTTCTCGGCGTTTGATGAAGGGGATCTGGAGGAGGGCGACTACGCAGACGGTCAAGCCGAGGCCGAATATCACAACAAGACCGAGGCGCTGGCGGAGTTTCAGCTTGGAGAGCTGCCAGACATATACGATTGGGAGGGCGAATATCATGCTGTCGATGATGCTGTCGCCGATGGCTGCGGAGTAGCTATATACGGCAGAACTGAAACATTGCGACCCGGTGAAGTCGAGCCAGTCGTCGGTCCAAAGCTTGCTGATGTTTTCGCAGTATACGATGAGCACGGTAAGAACCTCGATGAAGAGTGCAAGGGCCATGGCAAGAAGAATGTAACAGCATTTTCGGAGCGATGCCATCCCGGGTGGAAAAATGCGCAGATAGTATGCGAGGACAGAAAACCGAGTAAAGGTAACAGCGAAGAGGTAAGCGATACGTCTTTCGAAGATGTGCTGTTGAGTGTTAGCGTAGTGATTTTGAGACCTAGCATGGGTCATACCTGGTAATATGGCACTTCTGATGTTCGATCAGGGCTATCAAAACAATCAGCATGACTCGCCATGCCATTAGCTGGTGTAGACAGACCCTTTCCTATCGTAGCCCCAGTTATCCTCTGCACTCATGCATGATAAGACAGTGCGTGCAAAAGCAGCTCCCTGGTTCATCGTTAGCAAGAGCCCTATGGAAACGTGATTTGGGCTCTTTGGCACAACTCGAACATACCGTGCCTAGCAGTATCAAAATGTCATCTGCGGCAAGTTTTTTCTTGATAGCTAATCTTGAATAGACTCTGAGAACCACAGTGCTGATTGCTAATACCATTAAAGGCACTTCAACAGCCAGCGCTGTTTTGAAGCCGTTTGTTGCATCTCCAGCTTCCACGTTGACAATCGGCTGTGTGATAGTTGGTTGAAATTCCGTTCCATCCAACGCAATCGACATGCTGTCAATGTGTGGGGTATTGGAGTAGTAAGAGAAATGTTAGATTAGTCGGCGGAGCCTAGCACTAGGTGCAGAGGAGAGAGGCATCACACTGAGAGTAGGGCTAATCGTGAAGAGAAAGAAGACACCTCCCTCAAGCATGCTGATGCTGATGCTGATTATGATGCTCCTCCAGTACCGCCAAGGCATTGACTGCTCTACATCCGCTGACACGCCTCTTGCGGCTTACTGAGCGACGAGCGTAAGCCACTCCACCAATAATAATTCAGCGTCGTTCCTGCGCCAATACCAAGCATTGGCAAAGGTGCTGACATACTTCTTCAATCGTCTAGTGAGGCGGGAATAACTGAAGTGATATCATGATGTGCAGTTTTAAAAAACGATGTATTTGAAACTAGATTGAGGGTCCTTTTTTTTTATCGATGAATGAAACTGGCATGTTGGATGTCCTGTGCTGACGTTGGTAACCACGCCGTCAAACCCTCGAATCGGGACTGGCTGTTGGATGCTTTAGCCTAAAAGATGCCTTCAACCTTATCGGATTGGTCAAAATCATATGCATTTCCGAAAGACCTGTTCAAGTAATTCTTGAGCAGCTGCTCGCTGGGAATATATTGTGCAGCAATATCCAGACCTGTCTTCTCGGGCAAGAGCCGTTCGGCAAGCTCTTGGGCAAACTCGACTTGCATGGAGTTGCGGTACCAAGGCGCGAAGTGTACTATAAATAGTGAGACCGTTGACATGTTGCATGTAAAGTAGGAAACTTACTCATAGCGAGCATTACTCTGGGATCGGTAGTAAGATTGGGCTTTCCTCCGTGCCAGAGTCTCAAGTCACGTATGATGATGCTGCCTTTCTTGACGATTGGTTGCGAGGGTGGCCTGACTTGCCTACGAGCGTCCAGCAGATGTTTCTTGATTCTGCCGCTAGCGCGGTCACCGTGTTCACCTTCTTGATCGGCAATAGTGGTGTCATTGTGTGTACCGAGCCAAACTTCAGTAGAACCATTCTCGGGAGTCATGGTGACTAGGGGAACGTTGATGACAAGAGCGAACGGGATAGAAGGATGGTCGAAGTCCGCGTCATTGTGAGTCGGCTGGGACGCGGGTGGGGATGTTTCAGTAGGAGGCAGAGCTGTATTGCCGGACATGAATCGCAAAGAAGGTTTGGGTCCGAGTTTGGTTGATGTCACTTGGGTGACAATTGGATCTACGAGATGACATGAGTGTTTGGACTTGCAGCTGCACAACTGAACAGGAGGAAATCTTACTGATGTATATTTCGTTGCTGAACCATTCTTCGGTCATGGGCGGGTCCTGCTGGATATTGCCCTTGTTGTAATTAAAGGGACTATCCTTCCGCGCCTGCAGCTCATATGCATCTTGGACCATTTTCTTGTTCAGACGGTCCAAGACGGCATGATCGACCATGTCCTCCAAGACGACAAGGCCGTCACGTGCAAGAGCCCGAATTGCGATTTCGAGGTTGCGTTGGCCGAGTGCACCATTCTTGATCTCGGATGCTGAGGGGACAACGGAGATGGGAGTCGAGGAAAGAGTAGGAGCCATGGTTCGAGATGAGAGTGTGAAAGCAAGCACTTTGGACAACTGTTTGTATAGCCAGTATCAACAGCAAGTTGTGAATTTATATAGACTCGAACTGATTCGGAATGCCGTCGTGATGCTCATGGGATGGCGGAACACACGTAATGGGACTAGGTTGGCGCTAGTCTAGTTGGAGCACAGCAACCGGTTTTGTGGATACCAAGTGCGGGGTGCTTCCAGCTCGAGTGTCGGAGGAGCAAGACTGGGGCAGCAGACAACGGGCGCGTTCCCGACAGTCGAGGGTGTAGTTTGGAGCGAGGGACTCCATCAAGTAGAAGATCCGGTGTGCTGTCGACTGCTTACAACAATGGGCGGCACGATAGCAGTTTCGGTTGGAGAAGACCATGGCAACTGACGACATTGGTTGCATTTGCATTCGCCCTGCCCTGCTCTGGTCTCTGCAAACCAAACGCGCTGTCACGGGCTGCCAGGATAGCCGGATCCGTAGTCACGGCTAGTCAGGGGACAGGCGGGCTGAGGCCTAGGCTGTTGGAGCAAAAGCGGGAAAAGCGCAGTGGATGATCGACTTCGTACTGCGGACCGAGGTACCGTGGGCTGCGTTTGCCAGACTCCCGTCGCATGGCCTGATGCTGACAGCGGAATCAAGATGGGTAGGCATTGCATACAGCAAGCCTTGCGCTCGAGACTCGGCGTCTGACGGTGCTTATGTCGGGCGCTTTGGCACCTCCTGGCGTCTCAAACAAAGACGACAGAGGTTGCGCACACGTTGGGGGCGCAGACAGGAGCATCGTTGTTGCACAGCATGGTGTTGGTTGGACAGGCAAGTAGCGCGATGGCAGGACAGGTAAGGATCGATGAGGCCAGGACCACCTCATCTCGTCTCCGCATTTGTTCCAAACATTGCGCCAAATAGCTGCCATTGCGCTCTCGCAACGACACACGCTTAGATACGACCGTGGCACACAGCGCATTCATCGTGTGCTTCTTTTTTTCTCGCGCACACACACACACAATTGCACCCCGAGTTGATACTCTTGCCTCCTATTGCTGTTGTTAGCACAGCACGCATCTGGCCCCTCCCCATTGGCTCCTGCGGCGCCCAGCAGCACCACCTCAGGCATCACATCCATCCTGATAATCCTACCACGCCCACACTGGCCCACCTGCCAGATTCCGACACAACACCAGGCCATTGGTATTCGATAGTCTCCGCATCGCATAGCAATCGCACCACCTTACCCATCCCACGGCGCACAGCAAACACCACGCGACCCAGACGAGTAACGTCATCTACGCCACCATGCCGTCACAGCGTCGCATGAGGCTGTCTGTCATCCTCATCATCGTCACAATTACCGTGCTCTTGTACATGTCAAGAGGAGCCCGCCAGACCACATCGTCCGACTTCTTCACAAAGACCCAGCAGGCGCTGCAGGAGAAGGAGTATGCAGAAGCCGTAAAGCAGCGTGATGCAGAGAGTGTTGGCTCGCGCCTCAAGGCCGCCGAGGACCAGGCCAAGAAGCACGCCGACGACAAGTACACCAAAGTCAAGGCCGGCGTTGAAGGTCCAGACAAGAAGGGTGTAGCAGGCCGCGTCAAGATTGATGGCGACAGAGTACCGGGTGTTGCCCAACAAGGCGGCAGGCCTCGCGACCAGGCAGCCATGATGGAGCATGAGACCCCTGAGGACCACGAAGTCGAAATGGAGCTCAATGCGATCCTGAAAAAGAGCCCGAGTATGTTCAAGATACATCGCCCCTTGTGTGCAGTTACTAACCTCTTGCAGTGATCATCTTTTCAAAGTCCTACTGCCCCCATTCCAAGAAAGCAAAGCACATTCTGCTTGAAAAATACAACATTGTTCCCAGGCCCTACGTTGTCGAGTTAGACCTCAACCCCATGGGCGAGAAACTACAAGCGTTCCTACACAAATCCACTGGCCGCAGAACAGTTCCCAACGTCCTGCTCATGGGCAAGAGTATTGGAGGCGGTGACGAAATGCAAGACCTTGACGAGACGGATGCCCTTGTAACAAAGGTGCGGGAGATGGGCGGCAGCCGTATCACCGAGGCCGAACATCGTGGCGCCCGTCCACAGGCAAAGCGCCAACGGAGGTCAGCGTAAATCATGTTGTGCTTGCTCTGTCGTCTGTTTTGTCATGTATCTATCAACTGTATGTTTTGGTGGCGTCTTCCAGTGTCGAAGTGCTGCATGATGCACATCAGGATGAGCATGGAATATTTTGTATACCCCTATACATCTCGATTGGCGCGATGCCTATGGGCCCACTTGTGGTCCGTTTGGTGTGGTGGATATACCCTCTATAGTTTCATTTGATGTTTTGTTCCTTTACCTGGTCCAAATGCTATTCTCATTTACCTCAGTGGTTACCATAACTGACAGTCACTCAGCTTTGAGGAAAGCGCGTCCTGACCTCCTCCACCTTCACTTACCCAACCTCGAAGCGGCGACACTCAAGATGCCGTCTTGCTCTGACATCTTGACCACCCACTGCTATACAAATTCGCGTTGATACCGTCAGCTTTCGATCGAACACTTGCTACAACAGCTCACTAACGATCCCCCCAACCCCTTTACCAACATGTGTCTCTACTGGAAGAAGATGCATACGTGCGGTCATCTTTCAGATCGTCCTTATATCGAGATGTGCCGTCCAGGACTCCTCTCCAACAATGTCTGTCTTGACATCAAGGACGACGAGCAGTGCCGTCCGTCACACTTCCCATGCTACTTCTGCATCAAAGCCGAAGCACGTGCCGAAATCGAAGCTCAAGTTCGTTCTGACCAAGAGGCCATCGCCAAGGCCCGCCAGGCCCGCGAGAATGCAGTCAAGGAGAAGGTAGCTGCCGAGATGAGGGCAAAAGAGGAGCGTGTTCGACGTGAGGCTCGCGAGAAGGCTACTAGAGAACGAGAGGCAGAGCAGCGAGCGAAGCAAGAGAAAGAGGAAGACGAAATCAGAGCTAAGAAAGAGGGCGGTCCGTGGATCGAGACTTTGGGAGGCAAAAAGTTCAAGGGTAAAAGGAATGCTGGTGGGAGTGGCACCATGGGCAGTCCTACAAGACTCTTGAACTCGTTGTCAGTTGCAAAGATGGCTACTGGGCCCAAGAACACAAAGGAAAACAGCAGTGGCAACGGCGACGGTGGGGAGATGATGGGTTCGAAGACAGTCAGTGTTGACATGGGCGGTAGGGCGGGGGTTTGGGGCCCTAAGAAGATCTTGACGAGGCAGGAGAACGATGTCGGCACCGGCTCCGGGACGAAGAAGTAAGGCGCTCCCCCAAGATGCAAAAGGTGTACTTTGCAAAATCAAAGCAAGTCCATGGGAAATTCTTCTCCTAGGATACTCTGGAGTGGAAGCAGCGGATGAGTTAGATCATGGTGTCGGTGGCTTGCTAGTGTCCGGGTTGAGAATGCATGGTTCATGGGGGAAAGCAGCTGCATATGTAGATACTGTATGTATTTGCAAATGGAAAGTGGATGTTAGGAACCCGGAAACTTGGTCCATGGTCGAATTAAGTGGGTTGTAGTACGCACAGCATGATGCCTGAGATGGCGAGATGGATGACAGCTGTGACAGGGGAGCAGGGCTAAGGGACAGGCTCTCGAATCGTGACGTGCAAATCGGCGGATGATGCGGAAGAGGGCGACATGACGGGCAAAGACGATTGGTGACTAGTAGGGCAAACGGCTGCAAACCACTGCAAACCATGGCACCGGCCTGCGCCGGCTGCAACACGTCGAGAATGTCATGATATCAGATGCCAAGGCACGCAGATATTACTGAGGCCCAACTCAGGCCCAGCTGCCGTTTACAGAAATGTATGCATTTGCAGGGGGACTGGGTAGTACGTATGCGTAGTAGGAGACAAGCGCTGGGAAAGGTGCGCAGACGGGTTCGAGACACGATGCCGCGGTCTGGTTGCTAGGTGACCGGGGGGGAGGGGGTTGAGCGTCTATGCGGTACACGAAGGTCCAAGTATACCTACAACACACTGTCGAGTGCATATGCTCAAACAAGACGCCCACTTTTTGACACGACAGCAACGATTACGCGAACTCGTATATACGCAAAAGAGGACTAGCAGCCGGTGTGCAAGAATTCGCGCAAGCGCATACACACTTACCGCAGGCCGTGTTGCGATTCTGGGCGGCAGTAGCCTCCCCAACCTCCCCAGTACCAGCCACCGACCCGCACGCTCCCCAACCTCACGCATATTCCAAGTGTACCTTTTTCTTTGCCCCGACCTGCTTCCTTCTCCTGCACAATTACATACTCCCTACCACTGCACTTTGGCTTTGTTCAAAACCACTGCTGACTTTCTTTTCGTTTCTTTTTCGCAAGAGACAGGCCATCCACTCGTGCAGGAAGCCAGTCATCGCACACACACACACACACCTAGTCGTCCGGGTCTGGACAGCACGCTAGCCAACAGGCCGACCCCGCAGCTACCCACGCATTCACCGCCCCGACAGCCCACAGCGAGTATACTATCGCGCCGCAGCACCAGCAGGAGCGTGTCGCTCTTCTTCTTCTTCTTTCTGCAGACGCATCTCCTCCAATTCCCTCCAATCGCCGCCTCGTTTGCCGGCCGTTTGGTACAGTCGATCGCTACCATGCACCTCTTCACTATGCCTTCCGCCATGCTTGGTCTGGCTGCTTTCGCATATCTTCCCGCTGCCCTCGCAAAGCCTTATCCCCCACTCCACTTTCAAGACTTGGAAAATTACCACAACTCGTCCCAGTCTATCGAAAAACGAGCCTGCGACGGAGTTCCCTGCGGTTACGGCGGCTGGCTATGCTGCCCTTCAGGCTCGACCTGCTACACCGATGCGCAGAACCAGGCGCAATGCGGCGGCGCTGGCAACGCAAGCCCACAGGGAACAGGAGGCGTGTGGGAGTACCACACCACCACTTATGTTGAGACTGTCGGACTCCTCACAAAGACTTCAGTCTTCAGCACTTACGTCCCTGCGACTGCGACACAGACTTGCAAAGACTCGCAAAATCCATGCGGTTCCACCTGCTGCGACTCGGGATTCTACTGCCTCACTGCCGGCCAATGTGCTCTGATTGCTGGTGGAAGTTCTGGAGGTATTTCACCCTCCGCTCCTCTTCGGCCCACTGGCTCAGGCGTTGTTATAGTCACCTACACTGGCACCCCAACCGCCACGGTTCCCTTCCAGACCCCAATTCCCACTGGCGCAGCTGGCAATGACCTCGTTCCCACTGAGGGTCAGGACAACGGTCTTAGCGGTGGCGCCATTGCCGGTATCGTCATTGGTGTCATTCTGGGCGTTTTGCTCCTGCTTCTGTTGTGTCTTTTCTGCTGCGCTCGCGCCCTCTTCGACACTCTTCTCGCCATCTTTGGTTTCGGCAAGAAGCGCAAGCACAGCCACGAGGAAACCTACATCGAAGAGCACCACCACAGCGGAGGCGCAGCTGGCGGACGCTGGTACGGCGCAGGTCGTCCTGCTCGCCCCTCGCGCGCTGGCTCAGAGAAGCACAGCGGCGCAAAGAAGGGTCTCGGCATTGCTGCTGGTCTTGGTGGCCTGGCGCTTGCACTGGGTCTGAAGAGACACCAGGACCACAAGGCGGACGACAAGAGCACGACTGTCAGCGGAACTTCATACATGTACAGCGACTACACCAGTACAAGTAAGTGACCAATCATGTCTACAAATTAATCCGCGAGTAATATATTAACAACCACCTAGGCAGCGCAAGCTCATCAGACCGACACACTCGCCGAACACGACACTCGTCAAGGCGGTAATCTCGTCGTCTTATTCAAGTTTCCCGCAGGAATATTTGAGCTGTACAAAGTCACATGTTTTTTCTTTCTTTCGCGTCGTCTAGTCCGCTACTAGACGCAATGTTTTATGAGCATGCTACCGGTTTATCTTTTGATACGAAAAGGAGGGTTATCAGGCTCGCCTGCATAGAGCCTTACCGACTGGCGTTTATTTTGGGAGCAAAGGCGTTTTAGCGTACAAGCTTTTACTACGCTGCGATAGCGATGAGTTATGTTTTTTTATTCCGGTTTTTCTTTTTCTTTTTTTCCAGTTACACGACGATGGAGAAGATGGGCGTTGAACCGCTTAATGAAGTATGCGCATGGATGAGACGCAAGGAATATGAGATTATGGATACGGAAGATACGTACATGGATTGAACGAAAACATGAGCCCTCGATTAGGGGGTGTAACTATGAAAAACAATTCCTTCACAAACTCATTCTGATGACGTGATTATGGCCTTGGTGAATCTTGGAGCATGTTCCAGCTGTATGACTCTACTGATTTGAAAAAAAAAAGAACAATACAGTGGCGGAAAAAGCTAATTGCAAATGGCGCGACTACGAGAGTATGTAAGCTAGAATTGCAAACCAGGCTGATTGATGATTGCATGTGCCAAGACCAAAGTGGGATGGCGCTAATGTGGAGCTCTTACTCTCTCGATGTGACAAGTACTCACGTAATAACTACTGCAGCCTGTTGCTTCTCCGGCAGATACCTTTCCTCCTGTTTACACCATTCTACTCAACAACAAGACAAACCAGTTGATCTAGTTTGTCCGCGTCCCGCAACCAGAAACATCACTTAGCTTGCTACCCCGCGATAGTCAAGGTGCCCGCGATTGCCACACCGGACAGCTGCTAAGCTTCTCAACAGTCGGCAAACTGGGGAAGAGGCAACAGAACGACGAGGACGCTCGTCCCAGCAAGAAAGAAAAGGCTATGACAGTAAGCTCCCCTGCGTCCTCGAACCAGGACACCCGGCACGTCTACAACTGCTGTCGGCTTCGTCACTTCGAAACACGCTTGATCGAAACCTAACAACGAGCAGGAAAAGATGCAGGTCGATAGTCCCGCCACTGCCGTCGAGCAGCTCAAGGAAGCCTCTGGAAACAATGGCGACATCGATGAGTCCCTATACAGCAGACAGCTGTACGTGCTGGGCCACGAGGCCATGAAGCGCATGGGCTCGTCCAATGTCCTTGTCGCTGGTCTGCGAGGCCTTGGTGTAGAGATTGCGAAGAACATTGCTCTTGCCGGAGTCAAATCATTGACGCTTTACGACCCCAAGCCCGCCGCTCTCGCCGATCTATCCTCACAATTCTTCCTTACCCCCGACGACGTAGGAAAGCCGCGCGCCTCCGTCACCGTGCCCCGCGTTTCCGAACTCAACCCATACACACCCGTGCAGGAGTTCAGCGGGAAAGATCTGACGTCAGATCTATCGCAGTTGAAGCAGTTCCAGGTCGTAGTGCTTACCGACACTCCGCTAGATGACCAGATCAAGATCGCCGACTACTGCCATGATAACGGCATCTACATTGTGATTACGGATACATTTGGTCTGTTCGGTACCATCTTCACCGACTTCGGAAAGAACTTCACTGTCGGCGACCCCACTGGCGAGAATGTTACCAATGGCATCATTGCTGGCATTGACGAGGAGGGCATTGTATCGGCATTGGATGAGACAAGGCATGGTCTTGAAGATGGCGATTGGGTCACCTTTTCCGAGGTTGAGGGAATGGAGGCTCTGAACGGTTGCGCGCCTCGCAAGATTGAGGTCAAGGGGCCGTATACCTTTTCGATTGGCGATGTATCAGGGCTGGGAGAGTACAAGAGGGGAGGCCAGTTCATCCAGGTCAAGATGCCCAAGATTCTCAACTTTGAGCCGTTCAGCAAGCAGCTGAAGAAGCCTGAACTTCTCATTTCCGACTTTGCGAAGTTCGACCGACCACAACAACTGCACGTTGGCATCCAAGCCCTCCACAAGTTTGCGAAACTTCACAAAGGCGAGTTCCCGCGCCCTCACCACGAGGCTGATGCGACGGAGCTGTTCAAGATTGCACAAGAGATTGCAGGCGAAGGCGAAGAGAAGGTCGAGCTGGACGAGAAGCTCATCAAGGAACTTAGTTACCAAGCTCGCGGTGACCTCAGCCCTGTAGCTGCCTTCTTCGGTGGAATGGCTGCCCAGGAAGTATTGAAGTCTGTGTCTGGAAAGTTCCATCCCATTGTGCAATTCCTCTACTTCGATTCGTTGGAGTCGCTCCCTACCTCCACAACCCGTTCGGAGGAGCAGTGCGCTCCGATTGGTTCACGATATGACGGTCAGATTGCGGTACTGGGTCAGGAATATCAGAAAAAGCTTAGCAATGTCAAGCAGTTCCTGGTCGGTGCGGGTGCCATTGGTTGTGAAATGCTCAAGAACTGGGCTATGATGGGTCTAGCTACTGGTCCTGAGGGCAAGATTACCGTAACCGACAACGACCAGATCGAGAAGAGCAACCTGAACCGCCAGTTCTTGTTCCGACCTGCAGATGTCGGCAAGCTAAAGAGCGATGCTGCTGCAAAGGCAGTACAGGTCATGAACCCGGATCTCAAGGGAAAGATTGTCACTTTGCAAGACAAGGTCGGTCCCGAAACCGAGCACATCTTCAACGAAGATTTCTGGAATTCGCTAGACGGCGTGACGAATGCGCTCGACAACGTCGAAGCGCGCACATATGTCGACCGACGATGCGTCTTCTTCCGCAAGCCTCTGCTCGACAGCGGCACTCTTGGTACCAAGGGCAACACGCAGGTTGTCCTACCATTCATCACCGAGTCCTACTCTTCATCTCAGGACCCACCGGAGAAGTCATTCCCCATGTGCACATTGAGAAGTTTCCCCAACCGAATCGAGCATACCATTGCTTGGGCTCGAGAATCGTTCGATTCGCTGTTTGTCAAGGGGCCCGAGATTGTCAACCTGTATTTGACGCAGCCCGATTATCTCGGTGCTTCATTGAAGCAATCTGGAAACGAGAAGCAGACCCTGGAGACTCTCCGGGATTTCTTGGTGACTGAGAAGCCGCTGACCTTTGATGACTGCATCATCTGGGCGCGCCACCAGTTCGAGAAGAACTACAACCACGCGATTGCGCAGTTGCTTTACAACTTCCCCAAAGACTCCAAGACTGGATCTGGTCAGCCATTCTGGTCAGGACCAAAGCGTGCGCCCGATCCAACCAAGTTCGACCCCTCAAACCCCACTCACTTCACCTACGTTGAAGCCGCCGCCACCCTGCACGCCTTCAACTATGGCATCAAGCCAAATGCGTCTCGAGAGCACTACGTGGAGGTACTGAACGATATGATCGTTCCCGACTTCCAGCCCGACCCTACTGTGAAGATTCAGGCGGATGAGAAGGAGCCGGATCCAAATGCCAACCAGGCCGGTGGTGACGACAACGATGTTCTCAACAAGATCATCGGCCAACTTCCGGATCCCAAGTCTCTGGCTGGATTTAGGCTTGAACCTGTTGAGTTTGAGAAGGATGATGATACCAACCATCACATTGACTTCATCACCGCTGCTAGCAATCTCCGTGCAGAGAATTACAAGATTGAGCAGGCGGACCGCCACAAGACCAAGTTCATTGCTGGCAAGATTATTCCTGCCATTGCCACGACCACAGCACTCGTGACTGGTCTTGTTAATCTTGAGCTTTACAAGATCATTGACGGCAAGAAGGACATTGAGCAATACAAGAACGGCTTCATCAACCTGGCGCTGCCTTTCTTTGGCTTCAGTGAGCCAATAGCAAGCCCCAAGGGAACATACCAAGGTCACGATGGTGAAGTGACGATTGACAAGCTGTGGGACCGCTTTGAGGTGGATGACATCACGCTAAAGGAGTTTGTTGACCACTTTGAGAAGAAGGGCTTGTCAATTCAGATGATCAGTTCGGGCGTCAGCTTGCTGTACGCATCATTCTACCCTCCTTCGAAGCTGAAGGACCGTATGCCTCTGAAGTAAGTTGCTTGTATCTCTTTTTTTTTGGATATCAAATACTAATATTATGAATAGGATGAGCAAGCTGGTAGAGCACGTCAGCAAGAAGCCGATCCCCGACCATCAGAAGAACGTCATCTTTGAGATAACGGCCGAGGACCAGAAGGAGGAGGATGTCGAAATACCATACGTGATGGTCAAACTCCAGTAAGGGGTGGATTCGTGATGAGAAGGACTTTGGACTTGTTCGAAAGACTGGATTCAGACGATGACAAGAAGAATTAGATGAGCATAGTTAGCACGAATAGATGTTATACTACAGTGATCAAGATATTTTCTCATGGCAAAAGAAAACGTGATTGACATGGATATGATTCGTTAGTTATGGTGTTGTAGTCATTGGTGCCGAAAGTCGGAAAGAGGGTGGGGCAAGAATGCCAAGACTAGCAGCTAGCAGCGGCGACGCGGAGGTTGATTATCAAGCGTGTCGAGGATGTTTGTCGAGCACGCAACAATGTAGACTTTACCTGCACGCAAGCCCTACAACTACAATGGCGCCGTCACTGGAAGAGCCTGTGCAAGTGGACTTTGAAGCGCCTCTGAAAGCAGCGCCCCAGCTGGTTGCGCCTGAGCCGGGTAGGTTTGCCCCGCCACCGCAGGCGACTCAGAAGAGCACACGACTAACACATGGCTCACAGAACATTGCCCTGGACCAGAATCTGCCACAGCTGGTAAAGCAGACTCCTGCGCAGGATGTCCTAATCAAGCGATATGCGCCTCCGCACCCAAAGGCCCTGATCCGGACATTCCCCTCATCACAGCACGACTTGGCTCTGTCAAACACAAGATCCTAGTACTCTCTGGCAAAGGCGGAGTAGGAAAATCGACCTTTAGCACCATGCTCTCCCACGGTTTCGCCTCGAACCCTCAATCCACAGTCGGCCTCATGGACACAGACATTTGCGGCCCCAGCATACCCAAGATG